AGGCAAGCACCCAAGAATTATCTCCCTACCCTCTATCCTAGAATATTCTTTAACAATGTTGTCATGTGAGTTCCCATTGTAGACATGGGAAGACGTAAACTCCAGGAGATTGACTGTTAGAGTTGAAACTGGACCCTGGGCTGTTCCATTCTTTCTTCCACACCATCCCAGAATCCCTTTAGAGTACATTTCTTTTTTCTTTTTTTTTTTCCTCCCACCTGATTCAGCAAGGCAAAAAGAGAATGCTCAAAGAAACATTAAAAAAAAAAAAAGCCAGGATACTAAGAGTAAAGTGATCCTGAAAAGAGGTGAGGAAGGTAATTGCCTTCTGGAGGCTGGAATTAGCAGCGGGTCTTATCTAAGGCAATTAGAGAGAATAAGCGGGTAATTAAAGGCTCAACAGCTTTCTGATAGCCCAGCCCAGACAGGACCTGAAAAGCAAGGACCAACTTCCAAGGAAAAGTCCAACGGAGACAAAGGGGTGTGTGCGTGTTTTATACTCGACCCTGGTGGGAAGGAGAGATCAAAACGAGGTGTCAGCTGGGGGTTTGTGAGGGTTTGTGGAGGAGCGGCTAGAGAGATGGCTCAGTGGTTAAGAGCACTGGCTGCTCTTCAGAGAACCCAGGTTCGAGTCCCACACAGTTAACAACCACCTGTAACTCCAGCTCCAGACGCTCCGAGGCCCTCTTCTGGCCCCTGTGGACACTGCACAATGTGGAACACAGGCAAAACACACAAACATTAAAATAAATAACATCTCAAAAAGCATTTTTTTTAAAGATGTCATCTCTGCTCCTCTGAGTTCAGGTCCAGGAGGCTTTTGTTTTCTTGGACTTCGAGACTTGCAAGATCTTATTTGTATGTATAAAATGAATAGAATTTACCACAGAGATGGAAGGAGGTTTACACCCCATAGCAGCAAACATCCTTGAAATGGGATGAGGGGGTCACTCATGTCCTGATGACCTCCACGACCCATCTCAACTTCCCTCTCTTTCTCCTTTCACCTTCCACTCTCTGCCTCCATCCTTCCTTGCCTTCCCCTCTGTTCCCCTCCCCTCCCCTCTCCCCTCCCCTTTCCCAGACAGAAGTGACAAAGGAGATTCTTCCCCTGATCTCAAGAACTGTAGGCTTAGGCTGCCCCTCCTTGGCATCCAGGTGTCCAACACGGTGCTCCTGGTGTGCTGTTCCTCTCTACAAACTCACCAAGGCCTCCCTGCAAGGGGACAGCTCCCTCTTTCCCTATATGGATTTTGGAGGTCAGCTGTTAAGATGTGGAAGAAGAGGAAAAAAAAGATGTGTGTGTGTGTGTGTGTGTGTGTGTGTGTGTGTGTGTGTGTGTGTGTGTGTTGATACCAGACTGGCAGACTGGGAAATCCTTGAAGTTTAAATAAGATGAGGGCATTATGGCGTTTGTGCTTTTCAGCCTGATCTGTTTGATATGGAATATTGTCACTACTAATAGTAATGGGGATTTCTTGATATGTCTGAAAGTTTTCCAAGAAGTCTTGGAAATTTCAAAGCATCCTCAACCAGATCTAAGCTTGATTCCCATCTCCTAACAAATGTTCACACCAAAAAGTGGTTAGGGAATGGGCTACGTCTCAGGCAGTCCCTCATTGGCTGCGTCTCAGGCAGTCCCTCATTGGCTGCGTCTCAGGCAGTCCCTCATTGGCTGCGTCTCAGGCAGTCCCTCATTGGCTATGTCTCGGGCAGCCCCTGAGATCTCTGTAGTACACGTGAGAACACAAGAAAAAGCCGACTTCCAAACTCACACCGGTTAGGCAGGAATTGGGCAAGCTCACAGCGCTCCCTGTGCAAATTAGAAGCTGATGCCCTGGGGACGTTTCTCTTCAGACAGAGCCCCATCTCAGCTTGCTCCCTGGAGTGACAGGCAGAAGGGAAGCTAGTCTCCCTGGCAGGCCTACGCAATATCCCTTGTATTCTTTCTTCTTCCTTCTTCCCCAAATCTTTCCATTCCACACTTTACCTTCTCCAACTACCACGTACCCCTCTCCCGCAGGAGAGGAACAACACGCCTTCAATGATCGTAGTCTCAGATAGCCCTCTGGTTAGGGGAAGGAGGCCTGCCATTGTCAGCTGTTTAGTTAGCACAGGCTCCCCCAACTACAACACCCACCTGTTTCTCCCCTGCCCCCCATAAACCTGTTGAAAGGATCCTGGAACTTTCTATCAAAGTCCCTCATCGGAGTCATCTGGGGTGCGGTCACGTGTGTCCCCCTATGGAGGGGGAATATCTCCATGCCACTCCCTCCCCTCTCTAGGCTCCCCCAGCATTTCTTCATTGTCACAAGAGTCCTACATCACCAGCATGGCCTTTTCCTTCCCGGGCCTGTGACCCAGACCGAGTGCAAACTGCCACTCTGTGGAGAGGGGTCCTGAACTGCTACCCAGCCGCCAGGCTTGTCACAGGCCAGCATATCCAAAGGCATGAGTCAAAGACCACAGCATAGTTCTGGTCGGGGTTTAATTATACTCCATGTTCTTTATCAAAACTACCAAATGTACGTAGTAATTATAATTAGCATTCTTACAAAACCAAAACAAGTAGATATAATAATCATGTGTTTAGCAATAGCTAATTGTTCTCTATCATTAATTTATCTGGATTTCCCTCTTAGCCCTAACTAGCAGAACTTCTTCATGGTTTATTATTTATGTATTTTACCTAGGCTTTTGAGGTAGTGTTTTACCTCCCCAGTGCTGGGATTACAGGGTGTATCACTGTACCTAACCACTTTTTTTGTTTGTTTGGTTTTTGGGTTTTGGTTTTTCGAGACAGGATTTCTCTGTGTAGCTTTGGTGCCTGTCTTGGATCTCGCTCTGTAGACCAGGCTGGCCTCGAACTCACAGAGATCCTCCTGGCTCTGCCCGCTCTGCCTCCCAGTGCTGGGATTAAAGGTGTGCGCCACCACCACTGTCCAGCACCTAACCACTTTCTAATGTCTTCATTTTGTTTGTTTGGGTTGGGTTTCTTGTTTGTTTGTTTGTTTGTTTGTTTTGGCACAGGGTCTCACATAGCTCAGGCTGGACTTGAACTTGCTATGTAGCTAAGGATAACCTTGAAGTTCTGATCCTCCTGCCTCCACCTCCCAGTACTGGGATTATAGGTGTAAGCTAGCATGGCCAGGTTGTGCAGTGCTGAGGATTGAACCCAGGACTTCATGCCTGCTCGGTAAGCACTCCACCAGCTGAGTTACATCTCCATCCTTCCACTTTTGAATTTTTTTTAATTTATTATTTTTATTTTATGTACATTGGTGTTTCGCCTGCATGTATGTCTGTGTGAGGGTGTCAGATCCTCTGGAACTGGAGTTACAGACAGTTGTGAGCTGTCATGTTGGTGCTGGGAATTGAACCCAGGTCTTCTGGAAGAGCAGCTAGAGCTCTTAACCGCTGAGCCATCTCTCCAGCCCCCACTTTTGAATTCTAATGAATACTTTAAGAAATCTCTGCTAGTGTTAGATAGGTAGTTAATGTCAAAAGCCACGGATTTTTGTGCTTTTTTAAACAGGAGAAACATACAATTGCATTGATAATTTCTAAGTATACATTGCCACCAACTCTTATCTTCAGATTCATATTTTCTCCCCTCTCTCTCCTTCTCCCCTATCTCTGTCTCTCTGGTATTTTGAGTCCAGTCTCAGACACACAGCTGTCCTCCTGCCTCAGCTTCCTGAATGTTGGAATTCAGGAGTGGGCCACTACATCTGGCTCAGATTCTGTTTGGCTGCTTTCCTCCTCCTCCTCC